ATGAACAGTAGCTTATCTACATGAACAGTAGCTTATCCATATGCTCAATTGGTATGAAACTACTAGTAAACGAGAAATGTGTTTACCTGACTGTTAAAAATTGCTGATGCGTATTAAGGAACAAAACAAAACCAACATGGAGACCTCAGCCAGAAGTTTTTCATCGGGAAAAACACATAAACTTGAAATACAATAAAAACCTTTGATTGCTATTCATATTATGTTATAGTATATGAATTAAATAAATCACTGTAAAATTTCATTTATTAATTGCGTCTACGAATCTAGAACTACCGGGAATTTGCGTAAATCAACATGTGAAATACACCTTTTYCTGTTCATTAACCGCGAAGGAACTTTCAATCAAGCGAAACTGCATTGTCTTTAGCGCGAACGAACGTTCATTAACGCTTAGGGAGTTTCAAGAGCGCGAAGGGAGAATCATTAACATATTTAGCATAGATATGGACAATCATGCATAACTGGGCGCAGATTCATTAACGTTTTCAAACCTTCATTAGCCTTTGGAGAATTGCAGGCTAAAAAAGAAGATACTTTTCTTAGTGTATACTTGAGTGTGTTTCTTTATCATTCTTTGGTCTGTATACCGAAATAACCCAGATAGTGATCTTACAATCGATCGGTTAGTTTCAAAAGGCGTCATCTTTGTTTTCATTGATAAACCTGGTCTAGATAAAGATTTAGTCCTGATATTTAACCTTCGGCAATACTTAGAAAATTCAACTTAGAATTTTTTTTTCCTGAGTCACAGAAATAATAATAATAATAATAATGTGCTATTTATATAGCGCAAATATCCATAAGTTCATATGCGCTTTACAGTAAGAAGATTTGAATAACAATAAAACTTTTAAGAAAGTAAACAATATAACAATAATAATGACATTGACTTCAATACTACTACATTTTTTATAATACTTTTAACATTTCAACATGTATACGTATTTTGAATATATAAATATATTAAGCATATAAGTGATACTCTAAACCATGAAGACTTATGGGGGATATATACAGTGAAAACAAAACAAAAAAGAAAAGCATAATAGCAAACGAAATATTCTGGAAAAAAGTCTACAAATCGGTCTCTATTGGACTCGAACACTCACTTTCATTGTGATCATGATATCAATCATTAGGGACTGTGCAATAATTACCAGGAGGGGGGCCTTAAAACCAGAGGGGGGGGCATTACATAAAATTGATGCCAAGATAGGGGGGGCTCAAAGAAAAATAATCTAATTAACAGAGGGGGGTCTTAAGTTTCATTCAAAATTTTCATAATTTTCGATGACTCTCAAAACGCTGGAAATCGCATTTTCAAGAGTTATTTATTTCAAAATTCAAAGACTCATTGATGTGGGATTGAAATTGACCAAGATATGAATTTTTTTTCAACTATTGATTTTTTCAATTTTGTCACATGAATTGAGGATGTAGTTGTCACATAAATTGAAGATGTAGAAGCTGAAAAACATATTGATGATTTATTAGACATATCAAGCACAAGTAATATCAAAGTCGTTTTTGTCCATAAAAACGTTACATAACCCTTTTTTGGACCTTGAAAACCTTTGCCAGAAACAAAATAATTTGAAAGAACCAAGGGCTCCAGATTTGCTTGTGAGATTTTCAACAATMTAGCCAATGTAAAATCCCTTTAATTTCGCAGGAACAAATTCAGCTCCTCCTGAAAGTTTTTGTCTTTACAATTAGGTCCATGATGAGTAAGCCACCTCTTGCATATGGGTTCGTCTTTAGTGAATTTTGGGTTGCTACAGTTGAGTCGACTCGCTTGTGCTTGTGTTATAACTAAAGTTAAAGTCCATCTCACCAAATTTATTTTTTATATTTGGAAAGAAAAGACTTTTGTTATAGTAACAACAATTTGTACAAACAAATTTGATTTCGTTTATTCAAACTACATTTTGAAGCGAAAACAACCGCGGAGAAAGCCAATTTCGGGATTCCTGTGTGCCTGATCAATTCTTCGTGATGACGTAGAGGGAGTAAGTCGTTCGAGAGACAATGATAGATACCTACAGTGAAATGACAGTAAAAATCAAATCTGAAACAAGAGAACCTGCTGGAATATGAACAGCTGTAAATACTACCTACATATATTGAAAGAAGTTACTTACCTGGYGCCGTAAATAACTTTTCCTGTTCCTCGATATACTGAGATCTAGATCTACGCAACACTTGTTCGTCCAGAATAATCTCTCAACACTTTGGCTCCATTTTCATAGCCAAGACATAAAATAACGTTCAAATCGTCAGAATAATCTCTAGTAGCATTAGATTTGCCGTTCCAGGTTGGATTATCCCACGTTCAGTCTTAGAAAACATAGATTTGCAATGAAATATGGTGAATTTGTACAGTAAACTTTGTATTTACCGAAGGACGAGTTACTCCATCTACGTCAACGTCATCAACCCAGGCTCCCTCGCACTGGGCCAAAAATCATCTGGCCAAATTAAACGAGCATAAAAAATAAAAAAAATAAAAATATAAAAGTACTTTAAAAATCTGAAATATCGCTTTCATTTCGATCAGTTCACAATCGCTTTACATAGTAAATAATATTGCCAGGTGRACCTGATGGTCATTAAGTTCAGTACATTTGATTTGACCAATGATAAAAAACAGTGCAGTGGGACGRTTTAATAGTTGGAGAGCCCATTCCCATAATATTCATTAAGGAAAATCGTGAAAAAAACAAGCTTTTTGCTGTTATTTTACACTTCTAGAGGAAACGTAATGGAGATTAGAATGCCTGGTCGATACTCGTGTTATTCAGTGTTTTCAGTTAAAAAAAAACTCGTTTGAAGTGGTAGAAGTTTTCAAGTATAGAATTAATGACTTGTTTTCTTACATGAATATTATCATTATTGGAAAAAGGTGTGGGGATCACTTCATTAGACGTTAGGTTGTTCCTTAAGTCCCTGCTAATTTTTTTTTTGGAAGTTTTGGTAGTCGAAAGAACTCGAAGATCACTGACGAATAATTTGGAAATGCTGCATGTAGTTTGATATTCGGAAAAGTAACAACTATTGAAAGGTTTCTATAAAATAATTTTAATTCATTTATGCAATTTTATTCCTTGTGCTTTAATGAAAAGCTTTCAAAATGAAGAATTGATTGATAAGGTGTGCATCAAACAGAGCTCCAGCACTCAAAGTGTCAAAGTGTTGACAAAAGATAGGGAGTATCAGCTGCATGCACGTTCGCTGGTTGTGATTGCTGGCATCAGCATATGACTTACGGAATAGAACGGTACGACCAAACACCGTCAATAAGAATTTTATTATATGATGACCCAATTAAAAAAGAAGAGACAATCAACAGCAACACTCTTAAGCACCCATGACCGCGTGACAACATTTCTAGCGATGTGGGTGTCGAGTGGGTGAATACGGCGGGCTTTTCCGGACCAGCTCGAATCCGTATTCCTCCCCGCTAACACCATTGTTTTCTAAATGTTTTGTGAAGAGCGCGAACGAGGACAAATACTAGACAACATAATACACGCACAAAATAAATGAAGACGATYTTATTATTATTCAGCCATTTTTAGATGCTTTGTAATAAATTAGTGGTTCAGAATTACATGTTATCTTCTTGCCAAAATATGACATTTGAGGTTTCTCCATATATTGGAAGTAAAAAACGTATTTGACATAATGTGAACTCGTATATCATTATATGATAAACAGAATATTACATGGTAGCTTGAAGATAGGAATTCTATTTTTTTACGCTCGAAGATAAGCCGCATCTTTGCGCGCACAATATCCTCTATGTATAGTAGGTTMGCTTGAGGATCATAGTTTCTGAATGCTCGGTTCCACAAACGTGAGCTTCACTTAATTTCAAAATTCATTCACAACGGATAATGATTGTTTATATTGGTTATTTGACGAAGCACAATATATTTCCTACGAACAAAAGCACAACAATCAAAATTTGTTAAGTGCAAGTACTCAGTAACACTTGTGATTAATGCCTTTCTTCTTTGAAACTCAAATAAATAACACGAAAGCAATTAAGCTCTTTCTAGGAACATGAATTTTCTTGTACAAGTGCTCTATTTAAGAATGTCTTGAAATGCAATTGCTAATACAGTTATAGTAAACTTGCTGGTAACTGTTCAGCTAGAAGGGGTAGAGTTTGACAAAGATTTAAAAAACGATCCTGACAAGTTATTGAATAATGTTTGTGATTGGATACGTTTTACTGGTTGTTATTGTGCAATCCACTGCTGATAGCATTGCGGAGAAGAGGGCTCAATCCCGTCAATCGATGACTTTAACTGACGCCCTCAAAAAGATCGAAGAACTGGAAAAACGGTGTGTTATTCAATATTGCCATTTTATTATTTTTTTATTTAAAAAAGAAAAATCGTTCATTGTGATTGTTTTAAGGGACCGTGCAATAATTACCAGGAGGGGGAACGTAAAACCAGAGGGGGGGGGGCATTACATAAAATTGATGGCAAGGTAGGGGTGGCTCAAAGTAAAATAATCTAATTTTTAACAGAGGGGGGGCCTTAAGTTTCATTCAAAATTTTCGATGTCTCTCAAAATGCTTGAAATCGCATTTCCAAGAGTTATTTCCCTCAAAGTTTTAAAACATTTTTCTAAATTTTTTGTGGGAGGACCAGACTCCCGCCTTTGGCGTTCGTTAGACTCCCCAGATCCAAAATATATGTCGCGGTCCCTGACATGTGCATAAAAAGTCCACGCTACGCGCCTGACTAATGGAAATCTAAATTTAAAAGACTCGTTGATGTGAGATTGAAATTGACCAAGATATGAWTTTTTTTTCAACTATTGATTTTTTCAATTTTGTCACATAAATTGAGGAGTGTAGTTTTCACATAAATTGAAGATGTAGAAGCTGAAAAACATATTGATGATTTATTAGACATAACAAGCACAAGTAATACCAAAGTCGTTTTTGACCATAATTTTATTTCTTAAATCCGGTGCTAGGTTTTTAGGATTGTTTTTAATGTCGCCGCATTTCTTCAAAAAGCCTTGAAATCTGGCCTTTTTTCGTCAAATTTGGCACTTCATACGGACTGTCAGGTCAAGCTTGAGTGATCACGGACTATTTGTCCCCCATAAGTTTCATATGATGAACGTTTTTACTGTGCCTCTCGAATTGTAGCAAATGTAACGTGAATGTATTAAATAAAAATTCATTGCACGATGTGCTTTCATTTTATTTCATTTATCATTAATTTTATTTTTTATTTTTCTTATTATGCTTGAGGGGGGTTCCTAGGGACCCATGGAACCCCCCCTGGATCCGCCACTGCGTAGCCTTTTTTGCTTTACCGCTTTTGCACTGATAATATATATATGTAAGTAGAATGAAATAGAACAAAACACCAACTTGAAGCTATAAAAACTCTGTTTATTGGACGTTTCGGCACTTCGGCCTTCTTCAGCAAACTGAGTGTTTTGCACGCGCCACTCTCTATAAATCCTAGCAACTATATATGATAATATATGTTAAAAGTTTTAAAATGTTTGAAAGAGACTGGATATGATGTTCTATTTTTGTGTATCTGATTAGAAAGACGAGTGGATTTGAGGGATTTTTTCCGCAAAAATCGCCTATACGACGGTTAAGTCCGTCTGCGAAACAGCATAAACATTTAGTTTAAAGAAGAAAAATTAGGAAAAACAGACAAAAATCATATATTAAGTTTGCTGTAACAAAAGCTAAAAGTCTTTGTAATGACTTGGACCAATCTTGACTTACAGGATGAGTGCATATGATCACAAGCTAACAGTCGTTCTTAGAGGTAAGTTTAATCCTGTCGAATCCCCTTGGTCAACTAGCAGGGCTGGTTTAAAAGAAGGCCCGTAAATGATAAATACAGTCGCCACTTATTCACCATTAAGGCTAAACGAGCTCTGAAATAGCGATGGCTTAACTGATTTCCTTCTTTAAAGAAACACATTGCAGAYCTCAGATTTTCATACGCATCTTATTGAAATGCTTTCCTTTTCTTCTAACAGGAAGAGATGGACGCGACGGTTTACCAGGAACCCCAGGTTAATGCAGTAATACAATATTTCCAATGGTTTTGTACTAAAAAATGCTACAACCATGAAAATAATGAAAAGACCACGGTCCAACTGGCATCATTCCTTTCGAGCTTTTGTTTAATGATAATACATCGTATCATAAGCAAAAACTTTATTATTCCTTTAAACTCTATCAATGGAGATATTGCAAAATTCGACCTTAAAACCGACGGCCGATGGAAACGGATTGTATTTGAAGTCACCTCATTTTCGCTATTGGAKAATAAAAAACACGATTGAATGCCCTTAAAAAAAACTAGCTTGAAACTGATAAAGATCGCCAGCTCAGAATCATATCAGTTCACAGCCCTGAGGTTTTCCAAAAACAAGCCTTAGAGATAACTATTGTGCAATCAATATGCTTTTGATGTTCTCTTTATTTAATACAATTATTTCTCAACAGGAAAAGATGGGAGTAATGGGAAAGACGGTTCTGCTGGTCCAAGAGGTAATTAAAATGTAAATAAACAACGCAAAGAAAACACAACCTTCAAGAAACACCAATCCCTCTCCCCTCAAAATATTTGCTTGTCACTTTATTTCAAGGGCCGCAAGGTGCTCAAGGAGCTCCAGGAAAAGAAGGGCCACAAGGTCCACGAGGTCCTAAAAGTGGTGGTGTAAAATATGTACGCTGGGGTAAGACCACGTGTCCTTCTGGCTCTGACCTCGTTTACAAGGGTAATTTTTAGCATAATATAAATGATGTAGCTCTTGAAAATTATGAAAAAATCCACACCAGATAATCATGTGTCCGTCTTTTATGTCGACCTTGAAGATGTTTTATTTGCCCACCAAATTTCGCATATTCGAGTCCATCACTTATTTGATTGAATTCAATTTAATGGATTTTGTGATAATACGACAATAAGGTACACACAACTATTGTTTATCACAGAAGAAAAATTAAGAGAACAAGGAGTCCAATTGACAATGTTTTTCCATTTTCAAAGATAAAATAGAAAAAAATATTGTTTACAAGTATTCTTGTTTGGAAACAAAAATTGTAACACCATGATTACCGGTATTTAATTTCCGTGTAAAAAAAGGACACTCGAAGGCTGAAAAAATGTTAGACTTCTTAATGTTTGATAGCAGTCCATTCAACAGTGCAATAGATCTAGTGAACAATAGAAGCATTTAAAAATCGAAAATGCAAATTAAGTGACGTCGATGTACTAAAGAATTATTTAATATGAAAAATCACAAGAAAAATAACATTATTCTTTTTTTAGATCGGAATAACAATTCCAGCTTTTGAATATTACTATGATTCATGATTTGACCATTTCAACCGAACGTATTTAGATATTGCAAACCATGAAAAACCTGTCCGCAGTCCATTATACATGATTATACCATTTACTTGTTCAAAGTGCACCGGAAAAGCAGTGCAAAGTTTGTTGGTTTTTTTTTACATTTTTTCTTTATTTTTTTTAATGGACTGTCAATAGCACTCGGTAGAAAATTATTTTTAAAGTCTGAATTGACAGTCAGAGTATGTACTATTATTTGCTTCTCCTTACAAAYGAAAACCATGTGTATTTCATATAAATTGAAAGCATTTCGACTAAAAAGCATAACTATGATAATAAATTACGGTGATATTTGGTGTTTCAGGTCGCATTGGAGGAGAATACTATACTCATYTAGGAGGAGCAGCTGAGTACATTTGTTTGACTGAATCGCCTAAATATGGGAATTACAAACCAGGACACCAATCAGCAGGGTACATCTATGGTACCGAGTACCAGGTAAACGGTTACAGCCCATTCACCGAAACTAACCTTCACGACCACGAGGCTCCTTGTGCGGTTTGTCACGTGCCTACTCGCAACGCAGAGCTCATGATACCGGCGACATACGAATGCCCCTCGGGCTGGACCATGGAATATCATGGTTACCTGATGACAGCTTATTATGGCCACGCCCACCCCACTAAATATCTTTGCGTTGATCAGCATGCTGAAGCCGTTAAAGGAACAAGTGCTGATCTAAATGGAGCGCTGCTGTATCCCGTGGAAGGTGTGTGTGGTTCTCTTCCTTGTCATCCGTATGCCACAGGAAAAGAACTGACATGCGCTGTGTGTACGAAGTAGTATATTATCGTAGCTTTTGACGCATGTATATCGACGTAATCTACAATATACTTCCATAAATGTGATGTTGTTCGCTGATGGTTGAACAAAAATAAACTTAACCAAAAAAAATCCACTGATTATTTATCGTAGCTTTTGACGCATGTATATCGACGTAATCTACAATATACTTCCATAAATGTGATGTTGTTCGCTGATGGTTGAACAAAAATAAACTTAACCAAAAAAAATCCACTGATTATTTTAAGACACACAGAAAGAAGTGAAGTGATAGTTGTCGAGGACAAGACATGCTATTAGACAAAAGTCAGCGCAATCTACGTTTGTTAGTATTCGATCGCCTATATTTAAGAAATATAAAACGGTGCGCGTGTCTCTGATATAAACATGGTTGAAAAACACGAGAGAAGCAATCTTAACTCCCATCGAGTTTATATCAGAGGACAAAGACACAAGCGGACGTTTTATAGTTCTTTTATAAAATTTTTCTGCGTTTATCGAACGAAAAATAAATTTTTCCGGTAAGCCGTGTCTCTGCCCTTTGATATAAACACGCTCGTTAGCCAATCAGAGCCCGCGTTATATATCAAAATTTTTATAAATATAAATATTCCTCACTATCTTCTAAATGAAGTAACCGCTGAAAAGACGTTTTTTTTTGGCTTCATTCACCTAATTGAAATCTTCTTGCTTTTTCATTTAACGTAGAAAAAGCGTCTCGATCAACTCGTTTACCTTTCATGATTTCACGTTACAGATATTGCTCCTACAACCAAACATAAGGCCGCAGCGCTTTGAGAGCTTTTGATCATTGAAGCCAGTTTTTTTTCTTCAACGCTAACAATGACTGTTGACATCCATAATGAGCATTGCCACGAAAAGATGTTTCATTGTGAAGATCTGGAATAAATGAACAWGAGAAACAGGGAACTTATAATATACTAAAGAAAAATTGCGCGATCAATCGATGCTTCAAGGTAATYGGACATCCTCATAATGGGAAATTAGCAGCAGTATGATCGCTATAAAGTAAGGTTTGTTGCTAAGCAACATCCATCATTGATTATATTCACTGCATATGAGTCAAGGATTTGATAATTTAAAMCATGCCTATTAATTAATTTCACACCTTAAATATTCTTCCACACATAACTTCTCGATACTTTATATTTCATCATTTCTCATTGGTTTGACTCGGCGTGGGAACTGTTTGTGTTTAGAAGGTATTGTCTTTGAGTATGTAATGCTGATAGTTGCGTGTCATTAGCGATTGGTCTAGTGCAGCAATGTCAAAACCTTCAGTCTCACCTTTTAAGGGTGTACTGACATATCCGTTGCTAGACGACCTGGCTGCTATGGATCGCTATGCAGCCAATCGGAGAAGAGCGCGCGCGCGCGTTTTCATGGCGGGAAAATTTTTACTTCCGGCGGAAAGGTTTTTGTTTACATAAAATGTACGGCATCATTTAAAAAATTAAATATTCGGCGCGCGGAACATCAAATGGACGTGTTTTTTCAGTTTTTATGTTCTTTACAGCCTCCTCTTCAGAACCAAGCATGGGTTTGCCAAAAATTAAGAAATACGAAAGTTATTGGCATTTTTCGCTTATTTGTGGCATTTAAAAAATCATAAAAAGCTTATTTGGCAATCATTTTAAAAACGCATGCTTGCATTTACGGACTTAGATATGAAGATTCGTTTCATCCATTTTAAATCGTTTATTTTACTTTGCTTGATGAAATTATAGCCTTTTTTCATATTTATGACGTCA